AGTTGCAGGGGGCGGGGGGGGGGGGGGGGGGGGTGCGGGACGGAGCGGGGGAACACGAGAAGAGTGCGCTCGGGTGGCGGACTGCCGCTACGAGCAGGGTGACGGCGCGGGAAGGTGGCGAGCAGGATCACAGTGAGGGAAGATGAACAGTGTCATAGTGTGGGGAAAATGAGCAGTATCAGCGCGGGAAGATGTGCAGTGGCACACAGTGCAGGACGATTACCAGTGTCACAGTGTGGGAAGATTAGTATTGACATACAGTGCGGGAAGATTACCAGTGTCACACAATACGGGAAGGTTACCAGTGTCACACAGCGCGTGAAGATAAGCAGTGTCACAGCGCGAGAAAATGAGCGATGTCAAACACTGCGGGAAGACGAGCAGTGTCACCGTGCGGGAAGATGGGCAGTGTCACAGCGCGGGAAGATGAACAGTGTTACAGCGCGGGAAGATGAGCAGTGTCACACAGTGCGGGAAGATGAGCAGTGCCACAGCGCGGGAAGACGAGCAGTGTCACAGCACGGGAAGACGGCGAGCAGGGTCACAGCTCAGGAAGACGTCGACAAGGATCACAACGCAGGAAGACGGCGAGCAGGGTCAGTGTGGGAAGACAGCGAACAGGGTTACAGGGCGGGAAGATGTTTAGCACTGTCACAGCATGGGAAGACGGTGAACAGTGTTACAACGCACGAGAGATGGCAGAGAGCTATCCCCAGCGAAAGAACATCCCAGACGATAGAGTACCGCCGGAATATCAGGCCTGTGTTGGGGCAGGGTGGCAGCAGCAGTGCCGACAGGATCTGGTACGCCCCCGCCCCGGGCCCGGGCGACGCTGACTCACCCAGGCACGCCACGGGGGTCGGAGGTGGCGCCAGGTCGTCGTTAACGGTGGCGTACATGCAATATTGACGCGCGTGGGTAATGCGGGGTGAGTGCATGCCGGCACGCACAAATGGAGATGACTCCGGCCCAATAGTTGGTTGAAGGTATACACTATGAGGAAAGGATACGTTTTAGGAGTGGGCATTCATTTGTGCACGAATGACGTCGAAATGACACCTCACGAAGGTACGAAACAAGACCTCGTACGCTCCTGGCAAAGTCGTGCCAGTGACGTGTGCAGACCTTACGGCGGAACAACATTGATTCCAGATAAAGGCCTCCTTTGCACCATGCAGGATAACTGAATTTCATATCTAGGGGAAATTTGAATTGTGACGGATGAAGTCTAGCGCGATTGCTATGGCGAAGGTTACACCAACTATGCCTGCTTATGTGAAAATACATTTGTCATGATCAAATCAGATCAAATCAAAGTACGATCTGTTTTTCGGGACACATTCATCATCATCTTTAGCTGAAGTGATGGTGTACAACAATATGCTGAAGTGATAGTGTGCAACAATATGCTTTTGTATGAGGTTTTGACTGTAATGATTCTAACTGCACCATGCACACATCTGATACAGCTGTCCACCACCACCAGTTGAAACGGTATGATGCAATTCTCACTGAAGATGAATGTGTGACAATCTGCCAATTACCACCATTCCTTCCAGCTGTAGTGGTCGTGAATTCACAAAACTTTATAATGAAACAATGCCACAACATGCGCACCAGACAACCTGTTCACAACACTCCGTGCAAAGCACACTACAAACGCGTCCTGTGCCGCCGGCGCCTGCAGCAGCAGCAGCCACCGAGCCGCGCGCGGCCCCCTCACCGGGACTCTCGACGCGCCGGTAGTGGTACGGGTTGATGCAAACGTCCTTCTGCTTGGCCGTGAAGGGGGTAGGCGCAGTCCTCGACCGGCTTCAGCTCGTGGTGCGGACTGCAGGTCGGGCCAGCGCCAGACGCGGCAGTAGATCACGTGCGGCAGGCCCTTGCGATGGGACACCTGAGACCGGACCGGGCCGGCGCGTCAGGCGGGGCCGCTCCCCAGGCAGGTGGGGGGACAGTTTGTCAGGCGGCCATGGCTCGTCCAGCCAATTGGACAGAAGGAAAACAGCTCGTCAGACGTGAGGCGGATCATCAGAAGGGGCGTGGCTCGTCAGGAGGAGCATGCTCATCAGGAGGGTCGCGTTTCGTCAGGTGGAGGGGGGGGGGAGGGGACGGGTAGTCAGGAAGGCCACAGTTCATCAGGCAGGGTACCATCGTGCCACAAATGGCCCCAAGGCTGCCAGCCTGGCTTAAGTTACCTTTTAGATGCATTAAATGTCATGAAGAACTAGTGATTCATGTTTTACCTGACAAAAGCAGACAGTTCAACCAGGCCCCCTGATCCCTGCAGTCCCATCTCTCCCTGCTTCCCCCACCTGCAGTCGGCCGTCCAGGCTCCGTGCGATGGTGACGCACTTGGTGCGCTGCCCAGGCTTGCTGAGCGCATTCTCCAGGTCCTCCAGTGCACCCTTGGTCTTCTTCAGCTTCTTGACAAGTGCATCCACTGCCTTCTCAGCCCATTTCTCCTCCTCGTCACCCTGCTTCCAGCCCAGCAGCTTCTTCACAGCTGGACTGGTAAATGTGAACAGGCTGTTCAGGCCTGACATTGTGCCTGATACTCACTCTGTGGGACAGAAGCAGGAAGTCATATTTGAGGCTGGATTTCTTATCCAGATTTGCATACAAGGCCCTGTGATGTGGAGATTGGATTACAAAGATTTGTACACATCCATTAAAATTGGTACAAACTAGTGCTTTGTGTGCAAAGATATGTTGCAAAGTTTGGCATAGTCATGACCTTCACCAATGAATGCTTACCAATAATCAGTACTGCCACAAAAATACTGGCATGCATCAACTAAATTTTTGTTTCAGCATGGTATTTATTTTTCCAACATCTTATTTTGAGATTAAGTCTGAGCTATGTTGTTATGCTGCCCAAATCATCAGTGAAATGACTGATTCCATAAACTAGTGCCAGGATGCTTTCATATCCCATCAGAATCAGAAACAATGCCAAAAACTATGACTCAGGACTGGTTTCCAGCAAAGCAGGACCAAACACAAATTGGGAAGGAATATAATTTTGGGAAGCATATGGTCTGGACCAATGACAGAATAAACCAAAGAGCAAAACATGCATAGTTTGACATCCAACAGAAGTTTAACTTATCCCCTTTGACAACATTCTATTATAACTTGTGCACCTAGCATTACATTTTCACTTCTTTCTACACCTGTGGTCTAAGGTAAGCTGGCAGTATCACCTCCTGCCCTGCTACAAGCATTGTCTTACTTCTACTTCTCTAAGTTAGAAAAATGCTTTAAAAAACAACACTGACACCAGCATTCACATGTGACTGCATGCAATGAATACAGAGTTTGGATTATTACCTACACCAGACCAAGACCAAAAGTTAGTTAACTTGGACTTGAAACAATGATATTGCAAAAATATAGCTACACAGCTACAATATTTTGGGCACACAAATCAACTGTTGCAATTTCACAACAGGCCAAGTACATGCATGTGGTTATGCAAAATGAGTTAAAGGAACAATGAAAAATGACTGAAGCTGCATGCAAAATACCCTAACAAATCAATTCCTCCTCAGTTTTAGCCCACTTGCCTCTCAAAGTTGGAGAGGGATCCATGAAGAGAACATGACCATTTTCTGGCATACTTGGTCCCAAGCAATCTATGGATTATAAAAACTTCAAAAGAAAGTACCTACTGAACATTCGCTGTACCTTTGCTAAACAATACCGGTTAAAGAAGCATGATTTTTTGCACTTTGCTTTAGCACTGGCACAGAATTTCTGTGAATATAGCCATTGTGAATGAGCAGCATAATTTTGGCAACCTTTCAGGCAATTTTTGCAAAATCAGCCTTTCTTGATTAAAATGCAAAACAAAGTTTTGGACAATGCTGGCATCAACATATCTTGCTAGATCTTTGAGAAATCTGTATTACTAGAGGCATGGAAATATGCAGAATACAAATGTTCAATATCTATCTAGATACATATATATATATATATATATATATATATATATATATATATATATGTATATATATATATGCAGAAAATACTTCATGTATACACATGAAAGGTACATAAGCACTTCATGAAAGTTTGTGAACCTTTTTTGAGGAAGTTCACAGGCATGTTCATAAAAAGAAGTTGTGAACCATGTTGACAACACATCAACACTAGAACCACCAGCCCAAAGCACAGGGTTAGTGACACATGCAACATAAGCTAAAAATCATCCCAAATGTATAAAATGTAGCTCACAACAGCAACCAAGTAGTGAGAAAGTACAATATGCAGCACTGGCTAAAATTGGACACGAATACATCATTCAACAGACTTTGGGTGATGAATCAGAAGGCGCTATCAGGATACCACCGCCTCAGGTGTCTAACACTATGACTCAACATCACAATCACTGTGCTGCCGGTCACTTACTTATCCCTCACTTTCGAAAACGCCGACTTACAACTGCGACCGATACACCCAAGCCCTGGTGAGTAACTGGCGGCACTCATCGGCTTTCCCGCGAAGGCTGCCCGCTAGATTTTCGGGTGATTCATGCCTGGCACAACCATGGCGACGGGGTCAAACAACCCAGGCAGCCCCGCGGACCATAACCACATTTACCAACTATCACCTATCACCATAACACTCGCACATCCTGGAAATTCCTCACGTATGTCCGCCTACGGCAGCTTACCTCACACAGGTTGCGAGAAATTTAACTATGCAGGCCAGCGCACGGTTCCGCGAACCCCACCAGTCTCACCGAGGCCAACGCCGCCGCTGCTCCTTGGGCGCCGCGACTCCCAGGTTGTTTACACACAGCATGCTCCTAATTTGAATAAACTTCTGCTGTTTGTAAATCTTAGCAGCCTAAAAAAATACTTTTTGATCCGAAAGGTAATCCTGTGACGGAATACTTTCCCTGGACCCCATGTGTGAGCAATATTAGCCAGAACTATGTTTGTGTAGTGGTCATCCGCAGCATCTGGACGGCCGCCGGCTCGTCGTGACTCCGCCTAGCTGGCGCCAGCAGGCGTCACCACTGTCGCCTGAATGTCGCTGCGATCGCGGGGATGTCTGGTTGAACGCTGCTGGTTGTAGCCGTAACGCGTAGACCCGGCGGATCAAACAAATGCACGGGAAAGCTTAGGGACAGCATTTCGAGACTGCAGAACTCTGAAAGGACTGCATTGTACGACAACGCAAAATCTACACGGAACCACTCACCGGGTGGTTATTGAAAACCCACAAGCAGAGGGGTGCATATATATGCTTTTCGCAGTTTTATATCCTTGTCTCGCCAACCAGTCTCGGGGCGGCATCACTGGGGGGTAGTAGGGGAACGTATTCCCGTAATAATAGGAAATCAACAATACTTTTGCCTGAGACATTATACGGAAATAATTAGCCCGAAGCACCTTGCGTCGTTCTCAATTCCCCTTTGAGCTGGTGATTCAGACCAAGGCTGCGGCTTGCCTGACTGAAAACGGCACTAATGGACGAGAAACAGGTGCTCCTGGAAACAAACGGAACTTATCTGCCCTCTCTTCCCATACTTCACCCTGCATCCCCGTGCCTCCTCGCATCAACGTGAGCGTGTCGCGAGCGTCAGCCGTCCGTAGACTTAAGGCCGCGTCGGTTGGAATCTCCGCGAGTACTTTTACCACTCTGATCCGGTTTTCCTGATCCAGATCCGGTTTCCGATGCTAGATAACGTTGGTAAAGATAGCAGCTGTTCGAAATTCATCTTCAGCAGTAGGAATCGACGGCCCATCGATTTTGTCGAAACTTGTCCCAACGTGGCCCGTAGCATTCTAACTCGTCACAAAAAGGCATTTCGCGAGGCGAGGCATCAAATGGTCTCCCCTCCACACGTAAAAAGCTAAGCCGTTAGATATCGACAGATGATACTAGAATTCCTCCCGGGTAGTTACGCGTATTTCCAAAACACATTCAAACTGATCGCAGGACGAAAAGATTGATAGACGTCGTCGATTTTCGTCTCAAATAGTCTCGTCTGAAGCATTTTCTTCTCATTGGCACTGCGAGACAACGTAGCCTGAAAAATCCAGACTCCCTCGGTTTCTTTTCACATTGCTCAGAGAAGAAGAGCCTGTCAGACTACGTCGACATTTCTCGACTTTAACGGGGCATCGAAAGCTCTGACTACCAGATGTGATCGAAAACCACATCGATAGCCGACATTAAAGGCAATGTTCCACATTTGTACGCCGTTTTAAACTGAAATGGTCATCTTGAGGACCTTTTGATGCAGTTCACGGCCTTGTCCTTTTTAAGACCCAAAACGATCTGGTTCCCGAGTTTCACGCCCGCTAAAGTGCGAATGGTTTATTTGGAGCCTATTTCAAAGTTACCTCGGCATTAATGACGTCATAGAAACGTCATGTGATCGCCGTCATACTACAGGCCGTTTTCTGCTTATGGTCAAAACAGCATGGCCGCTGGTACATTCGCCAAAGCGATGATGCGGCACGTATGATACAATGCGCGGAAGATGAATGGCTGTTGGCAAGATTTCGGTGCTGGATGCGTTTCGCGAAGGTAAGCGTGAGCACTTTCGGCTGTGCGGCACTCGTCGTGAACGGGTCATTTTTCTTCATTTCTAGGCCACAGATCCATGTTACAAAAAACGCCGCTGTCTGCAAAAAGTTACGGCATCCAAAAACCGGACACTCTCCCGAAGCTTATCAAGAAGAAGACGCAACAGCAAATCTGCCTTTTCCCTGCTGGCGTTTTTTCTTCTTGAAGAAACCTCTTGGGCCCCATTACCATGAACCCCCGTTGAGACTGTTTTGAATGGATGTCACGGTGAAATGCGGAGTTCTGACTAAAAATGTGTGCGGAAATTGCGAGAAAACCTGCAATTTGATAATTCTGCGAGCTGTGCAAGTGTGAGATCACACTTATTTGACCAGAGTGTGAGTCGGGGCTTGCGATATGTGTGATCACTGGTGGTGTGTACCAGTGGCTTGTATTGATCTTGATGTAATGGGGAGTGTGCGTGCGAGGTTTGTACCTCTGAGAGAACATTGTTTTGGTGTTCCCGAAGTCTACTGACTCCCAACAAACGGGATATATTGGTACCTGCCTCTACCTTTATGTTTGTGTTTGAACATGACAAGGGAGCGTTTGAAAACTAAGAGAAGCACTAGCACTTATGTTGCAAGGGTGTACAAAGGCAGCTGGGTATA